GGCAGGCTCTTAAAACAATTCGATAAACCCAACTCGCTAGAATTTCCCTTTGTACCACCCATGATTACCGTCACTTCCAACATGAGTGAACTGGAATCGGACACCGAACCATTATCTCCGGCCACGAAAACGTGCAACCCGGGTGGCCTAATGCCACCGAACCCGGTTGGTATGTGCTACCTGAGCCCGTTCACAATGTGCAGCCGTGCCGACCGCACCATCTCCGAAAGCAATCTCAGCTCTTCCGGCTACTCGAGCATGGCAAGTCCTGGGCCAAGCCGCTGCGGCTCAAGCAATCCTTTGTATCCCGGTGAAATGGATGAGCCAGGCAGCGGCCATTCCAGCGGTGGGCTCTCTCTGCATGTAAATCTTTTGAACCGACGCAAGAACTCCGCCCTCGCCAGCTGCAAGGAGAATATAACCAATGGCAAGGGAACGGACGCCGAAAGCGGCGCGACCGGTAGCAGCACCGATCAACTGCACAGACCACGTTCCGACTCTGAGACATTCTCTGATGAAATCATTTTAGAGTCCAACGATGAAGGTATCGGTACTGACCATGTCGATGAAAAATTGGATGATAGCCGTTTGAGCAGCAATCGCTTCAAAACATTAGGTGCCTACATGGCAGAGCACGTCTTAATCGAAGTGGACGAGCCGCAGCAGCAGCCGACAACCACGAGTGCCGCTAGCTGCACCACCAGCGCGGGCAATCAAATGGCACAACTGCAACTGCCTTCCATTGTGATACAAATCGACGGCAATGAAAAGGGTCTCTCACCAGTGTCGTCACGCTCGGAAAGTCCGCTGAGCGAACGCGCTAGCATGGGCCGCTTTTCACCGCACTTCTATGGGCGAAAAGATCAACTGCCTTTCACTGATTCAGATGGACTCTATGACTTTCCATCGTCGGATGGGAAAGGCGGCTCCTTTACCCATCAGCGTCGCAGCAGCAGTAAAAAGCGTGAACGTAAGTCATCCAAATGCTCCGCAACACAGTCACCCACAAAGCAGCAGCTCGACTTACCGAGCAAGGAGTCGCTAACCACTTCGACAACAACACCGAGCAGCAGCGGGCATGTGTGCAGTAAACATTGTCTTTCGCATCACCACACTTGTCCGGCATCGGCAACTACCACACGCAAGAGTCCAAAGCGACGACTCAATAGTAGACCACCGGTGGCGAGTAGCTCTTCCTCATCGGAAAGTCTGGTGTCTCCGAAGGAGTTGACTGCCTCAAGGCCACTTCCGCGGCGTAAGTAGAGAGTTTTTTCCAAAACTAGAGCGGGAATGGCATGATTTTTTTCGAATTTCAGGTCTGAACTCGCCAAATAGAGAGAAACGTCCGCGAAAGCAGGAGAGTCTGAGCGAAGAAGAAGTAGCTGATGTAAGTAGATTTTAAGACATGCTTATTGTTATGGCATAAATATTTTGTTCCATTAATTATACAGGCCTTGCTGCGGAGAATTTCACCCAGCATTGTAAAAGAAGATACCGAAACAGTTAAGCCGAAATGTAAAATAAATCGTTTGCGTGCAATCGGAAATCAAATAAGGTATGTAGTAGCAGTAAGTAAACAAATTAGCATCAGAATTTTAAAAGAAAATATGCGCAGTGGTTAGCAGTCCGCATATTTTCTGAAAATATTGAGGTAATTTGGTCAGCCATGAGGTCTCTTCCAATCTGACGAAGCGCAATGACAGGGTGGAAATTTATATTGTGATGGCACCTCTTACGACCCGAAAGAAATATGGGAGCTCTCTTAGCCGGTATTTAACACTGCATCCTTCTGTGGGTCAAGTGACCAGAAGACTGCACGACCTCCTAAAACACAGAGCTCATTTAACCAACAACTTAGTTGAAGTCTTCATCGAGAAGGTAAAAGCCTCCAAAGCCATAGCCCTCGATGGACTATACTTTTTGATACTAAAGCACTTAGGTCCGGTGGGAGTGTAATACTTCACTAAGGTGCTAAATTTTTCGTTGCCCACTGTCGTCATTGTGGTATGTGGAAAGCATGGAGAATGGTCCCAATACTAATTACCGGGAAACCAGCCAACAAAGGTGGGTGGCGAAAACACTTGAGATCTTCCTACTTCCATACTTAACCTCCAATCTGACCCCACTACGCTTCAATATGGTTTCTATAGAGAACGAAACCGCCCCTTTGAGATAAATGTCTTAGGATTGCTGGCCTCATTCCACATTGAGGAATCCTGTGTTCAACAGGGACTAAAACGGTGGAATGCGAATTATTTGAGTGGTCGACAGAAAAAAATAAGAAGCATCCCACAAGATGGTGCCCTTTCCCCACTTTTATTTAACTTCTACATCTCGGAGCTTTTTCAGCCATCAGAGGGAGTTTTATTGCTCTCTTGCGGTAGCGTCGGGAAATAAAATTGATGGCCTGTGTTTAAAAATAAACATTTTCTAGCTTTTTCACTGAGACAGCCTAACCCTCTTCCCTCCAAAAACAATGATGACCGCTTTTACTACCTGCACAGCACATTAAGCTAAAACTAGGCCTCTATGACGACGCTCAAAACCAACGACTCTTTTTTCCGCGCACACAATCTTCTTCTTGTTTGGCGCTGTAACACAACCGCCATTGGCAATAAAATACAGAGCCACTCGCCAGAAGAACACGGATGCCTCTTGACGTTGCTTGAACACCAGATCAAAGACTGGATACTCCGGAGCTCTGGCGGGTCTCTATTCACAGATTACTCCATCTCCAAAATGTCTTTTCTCTACCTGAATTTCTTCAGGAAATGATTGGGAGTGACTGGCTAACTGGAGGAAGTGAGCAGTGAACCTTTTCAGAGGTGGATCGAAACTTAAAGATAGATTTGGTGGAGGAATCTACTTCCGGGAGCTCTCCACCAAAACTACGTGAAGACTTTCAAACCGCTGCCGTGTTTTTCAGGCGAAAGTAGCTGCCATTAGGGAAGCTGAAGAGCGTGACGTCAGTTTGAGAGATAAGTATATATGTATTCTTCTTCTTCATTGCCGCTGTAACCGCCTAGGCGATTTTGGCCGAGTCCAAAACAGCACGCCAATCATTTCTCTTCCGTACCAACTGACGCCAATTGGAAATGCCAAGTGAAGCCAAGTCCTTCTCCTCTTGGTCTTTCCATTGCAGTGAAAGCCTCACTCTTCCTCTGTAATCCCCAGCGGGTTCCGAGTTGAATACTTTCAGAGTTTGAGCGTCGGTGTCCATTCGAACGACATGGCCAAGCCAGCGGAGCCGCTGAATTTTAATTCGCTGCACTATGTCTATATCGTTGTAAAGCTCATACAGCTCATCGTTTAATCGTATGCGGTATTCGCCATCGCCAACGCGTAAAGGTCCGTAAATCTTACACAGAATCTTTCTCTCGAAAAACTCCAAGAGCCGCTTCATTAGATGAACATATATGTATCTAATCTAAAAACCAAGCAGCTGTCAGTGCCCTGAACACAATGGCGGCGTATTCAAAACTTTTGATGGACTATCTGATCTCTCTTTCAATTGCTTCGTAGTACATTTTTATTAAGCTTATTTGGGTGCCAAGCTAGACCGAAATTGCAGGAAACTTAATGGCTGAAGACGTAGCAAGAAAAGATACCTCTGAAGCGAGGTGGTCAAAGGAGCTCCTTGTCTTTGAAAAGTCGCAGCTCTCGCCCCTGTTGGGGGTTCCAACAATTCTTTATCCATACAGGCAGTAATGTTAGGAATCTTAGCTTATCCCTACTGTCACATCTGTCAGGAGAATTATTAGGTAGAGTCTGTTGGGGACTATATCATAAATTTCCAATGCGTCCCCTGCCAGCGCAATCTAACCTTACTTAACGTCCTACTTATTTTTATTTATTATCTTCAATTCCATCAGATTTTTGCGACGCCTCAAAAAATCCATAAAAACTCGTGAGCGTTTAGCTTCACCATCGGATAGCTGCCCGGAAGAGAATACCGACGACATGGACTCACCGCAGGCTACATCACCGCTACTGCAACCGCAATCGCCCAGCAAGACACGCATAGCGTTGTGTCGACAAAAGCGACTGCCGAGCGGTACGTATGGCATTACAGCAGCTGCATTGAATTCCAGCAATTGGAAGGGTATGGATCGTAGCCTAATCGGTGATGACTTAAATAGCGATTAGACTAACAAGGACCCAGAAGTACAAGTAAGACATGCTTACGTACGTACATATATACTACAAATTTACTTGCATGGAACAAAATAAAAAGCGAAAGGCTGAAATATACGAATATTACGTAATACGGAAATGTTAAAAGCATTACATGCATCTGTATAGGTTGTAGGTGTAAGTAAGTACATACTTAGTATTCATTAATAATTAGTTAGTTAAGAGTTGAACATGGAATTGATTTTTCGTGAATGTAATCCAGTGGTAGGTAAATAAATAGGTAGACATATTTACATACATACACTTGTGCACATACATAAACAATATACATACATGTACGTTCATTATAGGGTAAGTAAATAGCATAATTCTTAAAACTCACGCTTAAAAAAAGAACACGAAAGTTATTGATTGAAATGGTTCCATAGGGCGAGCAAGTACGTACATGTCAAGACCTAAATACATATACATTTGAAAGTATGTACATATTTATTCCCAAGCAATAGAATTATTCTAAATTCCCTACCAGCGCCGACATTTAAGAACAGCATATAAAACTTAGCTGAAAATAAATAAGTAAAATATAAAAAGAAAGTATTTTTCATAAAAGTATATTTCAGGAAATTAATATTCATTCCATTTGTACATACACACTATGCTTACATATGTATATTTAATATATAAGCAACGAAGTTTAAATACAAATATTGTTAGGTAAATAAATATTTAGAAACACTTAATGGAAGAAATGTGCTCAACAATTTGCGCTGTGTTAATTTTTTTGACGATAAAAAATACCAACGCAAAAACAATAAGTAAAGTAAAACGTTGTAGTCAGTGCGGTGGAATCAATGTCTCGAAATTCACCAATTAGATTGCATACATTCATATGTACATATGTTTATCATGTGTTAATTTCGCAATTTAATTTTGTTATGCAAAATGATCTCTAATGTGCTGAACGTTTTCCTGTGAAATTTTTGTTTTTAGTTTAAAATAGGCCCCGAGAAAACGTTCGCTTTTTGTTTAGTTATGCACGAGAACATAATGTAATGTAAAACTAAAGGGGAACTAAACTATTAAGAGCAGTTTGAATGAGAACAAAAGTTTCGGGAACTTTTTAGTAAAGAACAAAAGTCTCGAAACGCTCTCACAAGGAAAAAATGAGAACGAACCCCCTCAAGAACATTCTCAAGAAGAAGAGAATGAGAAGGAAGCTTTCGGGAACGTTTGCAATGAGAACTAAAGTATGGATAACGTTTTAAAGAAGGATAAAATAAGAACAAAAGTCTGGGGAAAAAACCAAAACAAAAGTTTTGAAAACTTAACGTTGAGAGTGAGAGCTTACAGTGGTTCCAAATTAGCATTTTGTGTGCACAATTCACTGGAGCCTTCAGTTTTCACTTACTTTGACTTTTTTTTAGATTACAGCTTATAAAATTTGCCAGAGACCGATTTTTTAATTTTTGTTTGTTTGTATTAAATTTTTTAGTGCGAATTGCAGAAAAAGATATTTTGAAGATAATCGATTCTCCTGTTTTAGTTAATAAATGTTACATAATATTGTAGGGTTCAATGAAAAAAAAAATTAAAGAAGAAAAATTTCAATCTTATAAAACAAATTTTACCAAATTTAATAAATTTTTTTTTGTGTTTTTTTTAATTTTGGGTGCAAGTTGTCAGTAAAAAAAAAATTATTAAAACTCAACGCGGTCTCTTAGTCTTTTGCCATTTGCGCTTTATTGTACTAAAATTTAATGATCTATAAAACTGCTTACCCAACATTTTTCTAGAAACTCAAAATAATTTTTTTTTTGGTTTTTGGGGAAAAAAAATTATAACATTTCAAAATTTTTTCGTTTTGGGGAAACCCTACAATATTTTTTAACTGGTTTTATTATGTGACATTTGTTAAATGGAACAGGAGAATCCATTTTCTTCAAAATTTCTACTTTTTCTGCCCTTTGCACTAAAATATTTAATATAAACAAGCAAAAATTTAAAATACGGGCTCAACTCCTCTTCTTCTTCTTTTTTGGCGCTGTAACCGCCTAAGCGATTTTGGC